GAGAGCACCTCTTGGCGACTGCTCGGTCACACATTGTCTGCTGACCTGAGATGGAACAAATACATTGAGTCAATAGCTTCGTCCACCGCAAGGAAAGATGACTCCATAAATTTTTTCTCGTCGGAGTCGATCCTTCAAATCTACAAATCAACCATTCGCCCTTGCATGGATTATTGCTGCCATATATGGTCTGTTTGTCTCAAGATCCTTGATAAAATCCAGAGACGGATACGCAATGTAATTGGCCCTGATCTGGCATCTCGTCTGCAGTCGCTCTCTCACAAACGTGCCGTCGCTTCCCTCTGTCTTTTTTACAAATACTTTCACGGTAACTGCTCCGATGACTTGCTATCGCTGGTTCCCAGAATTCATGAATTTAAGCGTTCTACTAGGCTGGCATCTCGCTCTCACTCTTTCACTGACGAAACTGTTAAATGTAGCCGTCTCTCCTACTCCAATAGCTTCATGCCCCGCACTTCTCGCATGTGGAACTCCCTTTTTCCCTTATAGCTATAATCTCCAACTATACAAACGTAATGTCAATCGACGTCTCCAGATGCCTTGATCTTACCTCAATCCTTCTCTTCATCCTTTCCTCTATCACTCCTCTTTGTTCTCGCTCCAACTCTCTGTAACCCCTTGCATGCTAATGGCCTCCAGCCTTGCTTGGGGTGAAACGCTTAAAAAAATATGTTAGTAAATACTGTAGAATCTGTTGGACTGACTGTCTTCTTAGAGGCGTGGAAACAGAAATGTGTTCTACGGGAGGATGATGAGAATATCATGGACGGAACACGAGAGCAACAACAAAGCTTTAGAAAAACGGAAACAAAATGTCCACTTATACTTCAAAACAGAGACAGTCGAAATTTCTGGGGTACATAATGAGGAAAGAAAGCTTATAAAATTTGACACCCACAGGACATACTGAAGACAAGATGGAGAGATGAAAACTTCGTATAACGTACCTAGGGAGTTTGTGTACATGTTTGGCAGAATGTGATTAGGACAGCAAAAAGATAAACTTTACTAAGACCAACAAAGGTCTCGAAATTGTGGGGAAACATGATCGCTAACGTCATGAAGGAACACGGCATATAGAAGAAGAAGAAGAAGAAGAAGAATTTAAATAAACAAGAAATACTTCTTCATTTTCTGCCGTGATATAAACTAAACCTGCCTAGAGGCATTTAAGTATTATACGGCATCCAACTATCATGTAAATTCCTTTTAATAAAACACTTATTCTTCAAACTATTGGTTTATATATCAGTTAAGTATGTGGCATTCGTAATACACACTGTGGCAATCATGTAGCTTTCGGTACATGACTGACGAGCAGATTTTTCCCGCAATAGGTTGCCATTTCTTTCTACGGTAGACCAGGCTATAGAACTCGGGTAGCACATAATTAGCAGTAAATACTCATCAGAATAAAAAATTCAGTCAGTTATGTGCCATACGTGACACACGCTTAGGGGATCATGTATCTTTCGATACATGACTTGATTGACGAGGCATATTTTTCCCACAGTAGGTTACCATTTCTTTCAACCAGTTGCCATCCAAAGCTATAGAACCCTGTCCTGCTACTTACCCATAGCTGGTGGATGAAGAAGAGAATTCATATATTTCCCAAGATTATTAGCACGTAAGCGACTGTAATGTATTCGACTGGGATTCGAACTCGGCTCTCCGATTCCTAAATCCGAACCGCTATCCACTACTCCACCGTGCCCTGAATTCCAGTGAAGGAAAATAATACATGACTGAAGAGGCAGATTTTTGTTTCTGCGGTAGACCAGTTGCCATCCAATGCTATAGAACCCGGCCTGTCGTACTATTTAGATCAGAACGTTTATTCACAGTTGGGAGGAGAAGAGGATTAATACGCTTCCGAAGGTTTTTAGCACTTAAGTGAATGTAATGGATTCGACTGGAATTCGAACTCGGCTCTCCGATTCCTCAATCCGAGCCTCTATCCACTACTCCAACGTATGTTATTATTAACCAGCAGCATGGCCCGGCGTTGCCTGTGCTTGATTCAAAAATCGTAATACTCGTACAGCAATCGCTATCACTTGACCTAAAATATTTTAGCCCTTCCTTGTCTTTAAAGGAGTGCCCTTTGCCGTGCTGATGTTGCTACAGGCCTTACTTCTTGCTTATCTCACACTGCAAATTTTTCTAAGCTCTATACTAAACATTAAATCTGTTACGAAAAAAGAACTAAACAAAATGAACACAAAATGATCAGCTTTAAAAAAGGACTCGTAACTGGAAAAACCGAATGAAAAAATAATGTTAACAACAAATACTTTTTCACAGCCAACCCATTTCTGCGGAATCAGAATCAACATTGAGTTTAAGCAAGCGAATGAGCCTATTGGAGTAAAGTACCATGCAGATTTAAATTTTTCCCACTTGTCACGAATGCAGCTATCGATTTTTTTTTTTTTGCATGCTAGCATGCTAGTTAACATTCGTTTCAGTCAGCTGTTGGCTCTGACGCTGGCCAATAGAATTTTCCTGCCTATTCGTGGCAGCCAGCTATAGGCTCTCTCTCTCTCTCTCTCTCTCTCTCGCTCTGTGGCCAGTAGAAAATGGCCGCAAACTACATGAAAACTGCCGTAGAAGCATGAAAAAATCGATTATTTCCACTATCCATAGGAGTTGGGAAATGCAGAGTCGGTCTTGGCCTTTCCGCTAACTTGGAGCATGTGCATGTAAATTTTGGTGCAAATCCGTCGAAAATTGCGGCCGTGCATTCGTTACACACACACACACACATCCTGCCTTTTATAGATAGAGATAAACCGCATCACAGTAAGCAAGCACTATGTGACGGGTAAATTTCATATTCTTAATTTCGCGCACTTGCGTTGTTATTGATTTTGTCGACAGAACAGCATAGTAGGATGAGTTGGGCACCGTCTGTGAGAAAAACAGCACCATGATGCAATTCATTCTGCCAGAAATTTGGAAATGGCATGCTGTACGAACATTTCAGAGATTTTGGGTGTCAATCTGAGGACTGTGAAGTTGGATGAGTCTAATGGTGATTACGAATGTACTGCAGCTAGGAAAACACCCACTGATATTTCTGATAAGGAAAGAACCCCTGAATTTTTGGGGGAGTGCCTCAGACTCAACACGGAAGCCTACATCAAGTGCCTTAGGAAGATAGCGGTGCACTGGAGCAAGAGGCTGGCTGCTGGAAGACCATATCTCTGGCAATAGGATTTTGCATTATGTCACACAAGTAATAGTACCCAGTCATGGCTGTCGGGCAATTTCTGCAACCACAACACCCCTTAACTCTGGCCACCAGAGTTCACCTCCTTGATTATGGTAGGATTCACCAACTTAAACGAGAAGACTTTTCAGAACAGTTGCAGAAGGTTCCGAAGGCGCCTAGAGGACGTGGTTGAGGCCAATGGCGATCTTATTGAATGAATTTACTCTTTAGCATTTCAAGATATTTTGTCTAATTTTGGTAAACATGCCTATTAATATGAGATGTCAATATTATTTTCATTTTTGTGTATTTTAGACGACAATTTATCCATCGCACCCTGTATATCCAACGATCTTCAAAACAAAGCACACCTGTCTGTTAATACGGAAAGCTGCAGCGATGCCTCTCTGAAATAAGCTTTACGGCCAGAAACTGTCGTCTTTAAACTCGCCAACATACACACCGGCCACCCCGAATACATCAACATGCGCCTTTACCTGCAGTTTACAGCCTCTTACCCTCCAGGCAGACCAGGTGGCGAAACATAAAGCATACGCCGACTTGCCCCAGCGACAGACTAAATCATTGTCTTAGGTAACCTCAATACTAGGGTATAGCACGTGGTAAATTCGCCCTCGGGAAACACGGTGTAAGTAAGTCAAACGATAACGGGTAGATCGTCCTCGAGTTCTCGTCGGTACAAGAACATTTATGACAGTTCTTTACTTTCTGTGTATTTCCAAAGAGGTTGAATTTTTTTAAAGAGGATTATGGATACGAAACGTAAAAGGCATCTTCACAAATCATGCACCGGGCCTTCTAGGCATTTATAAGATGAGAACTAAAAGGAAAAGAAATTGACTAATACTTTTAGAATTAAATTTAAAAGGAATTAATTCTTTTTTATAGACTTTTGTCTTATCCTTTCTACCTCCAACACCACCAGAGGCAGTCTTCTTCAATTTTCTCATTAATTAACCTCCATTTGATTGATTCCGAACGAACCATTCATTACGTTCTCGTGATATGAACGTTAGTGGGGGGGGGAGAGGAGAGTGAAATTATAAGAATAAGGAGGACATGGCGAATGAACCTTGACTTGAAGATGTTAAGATTAAAATATTCAGGGAAGCATCCAAGCAGGAGTTTCGTCCGCATGGTAGCAGCTTTTGGGAGGGAAAAGCTAAGTGGAACTTGCACCTTACAAATGGAATACAGAGGAAATGTGACCGGTTCGATTTCGTGCAAGTAGGATACCGTATCCAAAATATCAAAATGTCTGACTGAATTGGTGGGATCTAAAAAGTGGAGACGGAAAAAGTCTTACTAAAACTCAAAATTATTTGAGGGATTTTTCAAATGTTCATTGCTTTGTTTTTGATATATCGCCCTGTCGATGGCAATCAAAATACGCCGGTTGCCGTGCAAATTGGTAACCACTACCCCCCCACACACACACACCTCCAAAAATGTTAAACTTGTTTGCTGCACCTACATCTACATTTTTGGTTGATTGATTCGTTTTCTACGGCTTATCAACCCTTTGCAGGTTATTTAAAGCCAGAAAATGTTTTTTAGATTGTATGAATTATTTTTGAGATAGCAACGGCTAATAATATAAGTCTTACTAATTAACTCATAGCTCGGAGAGAGGGGACGGATTCAGACCTTTCTTAAGAGTATTTGTGAGTAAGTGAATACAACTAACGCAATAGGAATTGAATCTCGGCTCTCCGATTAACAATTAGGAGCCATTATCCATTACACCACCCGCACATCCAAGCGATCACCATCTAAGTACTGACCATGCTCGATGTTGCTTAACTTCGGTGCTCGCACGAGAACGGGTGTTTTACTGTGCTCGTAAAACTGTCTAACTTTCTTGACTCTTTGCAAACCAAACCTACGGCTACCTTTTTGTCTCTCGTGCAAACCAAACCTGTGTCTATATTTTTCACTTTTTTAAACGTTTCACCCCCAAGCAAGGCGGCAAAGCCACTAAGACGCAAGGTGTTACTAAGAGTGAAAGAAACCGAGTAAATGTTATTGAGCGGGGAAAGACAACGGAGAATAGGACTCAAAAAGACCAAACAAAGGTTGACGTTGCATTTGAATTTTTGAAGATCATATGAGACAGGAAAGCAAGGAGCCGGAAGAGCGTTCCACAGGCAAGGTGAGTGAGATAAGAAATTATTAGCCTAGATCTTATGATGACATGTCGCAATTTCTCGACAGTAAAATGATGAGACCTAAACGCCAATCTAGTACAGCGCATACATTCGTTGTCGAGGTATCAAAGAGAAAATCTCTTCAGAATAATTACCGTGAAAATATTTATAGAAAAATCACAACAAGCTAAGTTACGGCTATGATAACGTGACTGAAGCCGAGATGCCAGATCAAGACCGATAACATTACAGGTTGACAAGACTTGCAATGTTAACAAATTAAACAGTAATTATTTATTAAAACAGTATCCTACCGGAGAGCGTGATTTTTTTTCTTTAATAAGACTTCTCGGATATTTAGGCCGGTAGACGAAAATAAATAAAACATGTTTAATAAATACATGTAGCGTCGACTCAGATATGTGTATCCACTAAAAATAGCGTTTATGTAATAATATATTTAGCTATATAAGAACTGGTTTGGTTCGAATTGTTTTAGAGCTTATCAATCTTTTACAGGTTATAAATTAAAATCTGTCGAATTAATAAATAAAAGTACATCACTTCTTTAGAAATAGCCAAATATAAAAATTTTAATGAATCATAACTCTGTCAGTAATGTGCCATGCGTGATACACGCTTAGGCGATCATGTATCTTTCGATAAATTACGAGGCAGATTTTTTCCCGTCATACTAAGTTGCCATTTCTTTCTGCGGTAGACCAGTTGACATCCAATGCTATAGAACCCGCTCTGTCCCGCTATTTACCTATAGCTGGGTGGAGAAAAGGATGTATACCTTTTCCAAAGGTATTAGCACGTAAGTGAATGTAATAGATTCGACTGGAATTCGAACTCGGCTCTCCGATTCCTCAATCCGAGCTACTATCCATTATTTTCTGAATGTTTTTTTTTTTTCAGTTCTTTTTATTCAGCTTACATTCCTCTGACGTAGGTACCACCACAGAAAACGCGATACCTAAAGTTTAAAATGAATTTTTAAAATTGAAAAATCTTCCTTGAACCTTTCACGCTAGTTTTAATTTCAAGCTAATAGATTAAATTTAATGTTTCCAATAAGCAAAATATTTTGCTGTATTTCAAAACTGATTTAAATTGACTTGAAAGGAAATTTTCGTTTTGAAATTTCTGGAATTCTTAAATCTAGCGCCATTTTTAGCTTTTGATCATTTCAACGCAATTCTCTTTATTAAAAAAAAATCTTCCAAAAATAAAATATACTTTTTTGAAACGTTATCTGAGGTTTATTACATCATTTAAAGTATAATTAATCTGATTTGAAACATATATAATTTACTTCATGTTTAAAATATCTCAGAAATACATTGTTTTAACAGAGCAGTAATGTTTATTTAAGCTGTTTGACGTGTTTGACAGCTTGATGACAGATTGATGTTTATTTAATATTGTTTTATAGAGACTTTATCCATAAAAAAAATATATATATTGAATATAACGTGAGCGCTTCTTACATATAATTTTTAATTACTCAGTAATCTTAAAAATTTAAGAAAATATTATCTGTAATCTATTGTTTTATGGATTTTTAGTTAATTTTTGGCTTTAAATTTACTATAGTTTTCTGATAATATCGGGCATGGCCGGCAGTATCTACAAGAAATCCTCATGTTTACACGGATACAAAATACAATTCAAAATTTTTTTTTTTTAAATACTGGGTGTCCTCAGATTCTAATAAGATTTACGATTTATTATTAGTAAATATAGTTTTACTTACTAACAATATTATCTAATAGTTACACCCTTGTAACTGAGTTTTAAAACTTTCGGCAAAACGGTATCCGATTTACAAAAAGATTGATGATTTAAATTCTCTGCTTTTGATTAATTTAGTCGCTAAAAATTATCCCGGTGAATGTCTCGAGTTTTCATAAAATTATGTAAGTGGCGTGAAATACATGTAATAAAAATATTTTTACCAAGATTTCCAAAAAATAATTTCATTCATTTGTGAATATGTCCTGAAAGTTTCATTAAAATCCGACGATTATTTAGTTTTTGTAAGAATTTCCAAATCAATATGGCTTTCGCTACAATTTGCTATGCTAATTTATAGTCCATCTGTTGACGCAAAGAAAACAAGATTTTTAATCAAAATTTCGAATGTTCTGAAAAGGATTAAAAATTTAATTAAATATCCAAAAATTTCTTGGGTCTTTCTTCTTAATAATGACAAAGTTTTTGACGATAAAACTCAATTTTCGTCAAGTTTTGGGCATTTTTTCATCATAGTATGCTAATTTTTTTTGGCGAATTAGTGGAGTTACCTACTTTGTAGAGTATTACTATCATATGTGACCTGGGGCCGTTCATTTGCCAATTTCCGGCATTGAGAGAGTTCAAAACCGTCCATGCAGTCTTGTGGGGACAATCTCTTTCCTACAAGCGCAACGTTGCAAACCCGTTTCTGCTTTATCTCTATTTCATAATTCTTTAGTCCCATCAGTTCGGACTATGCTGCATTGACGAAGTCAAGTCACCCTCATCTCTTGCGAGTAGAAAATGTTAGAAGGAAGGCTCATTCAGATAGCTTTTTGACAAGAACTTTTAATTTTGACTTCCATGTGGTTACTTCCCTCGGCACTTTCTCTTTGATCTCTTCAAGGGTCAGTCATTCTCTGTTCTCTTAATCTTCACTTCCCACCCCCTCTTCTTATATTTACGTCACACACTTTATGCTTCATTACTATTCTAACATTAATTAGGCTTACAGCCATATCACGTTGAAACACTGGTTCCATTACGATCGGCGAAGTTAAGCGACGATTAGATATCGGAGATGGAATGTATGGACATATAAAAGTAGACACTGGGGTCAACACATTGAAACACTGGTTGGCGTACTATCATCGAAGTTAAGCAACCTCGAGCTTAGTCATGTCTAGATGGGTGACCCCTTGGGAATACTAAGTGCTATAACCTTAGACGAGAGGGTGGTGCATAATGGCTCGGAATTGTTAATCAGAGAGCCAAGTTTTAATTCTAGTCGGGTTCGTTGTAAAAGTATAAGTCCACCCTTTTCTCCATCTTCGGTTATGGGTTAAATTTGTAAGACTTGTAACACTAAAACCATTGTTATCTCCAAAAAAAATAAAATAAAATAAAATAAAACTTCGTTCAAAATATTTAGATGTCGACATTAAATAACGCCCAGAAGTTGATATGGCACTAAACAAAAACAATCAACCGATTATGTGAACATTATTCGAAAATAATTGTTCGAAAACAATTACTCGAAAACAATTAATAGAAAAACATTTATTCGAATTGGAAATTGTTTGAAAGAAAATTAAAGGAAAGAACAACTATATTAAATAATTAATTATTCGAAATGCAAAATTCATTATTGCAATAAAAATATAAAAATTAAAAGAGGAAATAGACAAATGATAATTATTACAAATACAAATAAATTTAATAAAACAATTTAGTAAGAAAAAATTCTTATAACCTTAAGTTATATGATACTGCATGCAAATAGTAAACAACTATTTAAAATACTCGTTAAAGGATGCCACTGATATTTTAAGTTTTTCCATTTACGTCACAGTATTTCTTGATATATTGGCAACTTGCTCTTACTTTTGCGATATGAATTTCTTTCAAGTCTTCTTCTCTTTTAAAATCATCTATGAATTTCCATATTGCGAGATGATGGGATGACAAATGCTGCAAAAAAAGCCCTATGTCATCCTTCAAGGGCATTATTAGTTCTAGGTAAATCAGTATTGACTCTCTCAAATCAAGACCACGTACGTATTTCAAACATAGTTATTTCAAATAATTATCATTTGTTATAATTTTCTTTTTCGCATAATTTTCATTCAAACAATTTACAATTCGAAATAATGATTTTCGAATAACTGTTTTCGAATAATTGTTTTCGAACAATTATTTTCGAACAGTTTTTTCGATACGTGACCAACTAAAATTAAACTTATATCTTTCTTGACTCTCAAGGCTTATATTACCTGAATTTTTTTGGTTTGGTTTGTTTTATGGCATATCAACCTCAATGGGTTATTTAATGCCGACAAAATGTTTATTGATGGTAATATGTTTTTCTTCAGAAATCTATTTCTGAGAATATTTTTCCTTGAATAAATCTATAGCTGGTAATATTTTTTTCAAAGAATGTATAATTTTAAAGTATTGCTGATAATAATTTCTCCTTCAAAAATTTTTGCTGGTAGTATTTTTTTTATTAGAAAGTATTTTTGGTATTAAAACCTGTTTTTACACAAGTTTGGGTGTCAAGTTTGGGTGTCCTATAACTGGGACCCTAACAGGTGCTACCTCTCCGGGTCAGGGTGGTTTTACGCTCCTCAAAACCTCCTGATCAGAGGCCTTGATGTTAGACGTAGTTTATCGTCATACCCAGGACGCGGACGTAGTTTATCATCAAACCCAGCGCAGTGCCTGAATTGTATTGACGATATTTTATCGCATATTTATCTTCATTTCAAAGTATAAAGGTGAAAGAATAATAAACAATCCGTGTGCAGTGCTATACAGGAATACTTATTCTTACCTTGCATTAGATAGTTATTCAATTTAGGGAAATTTCTCAGTTGTTTTACGTTATTCAGATGTTATATCGGATGACAAAAAACAAAAATTATCCTGCGTCTATTTTGTTTCCTTATTT